CCACCACCCACCCCACCACTGACTTCCGGTAGACTGAAGCAAGAAATAAGTTTGTATTGTGTTGTGCCATTGAGATTTTGGGGTTGTCTGTTTCAGCAATCAACCTACACTGACCTAAATAGTTGCTAGAGTCCAGTTTAGTACATAGGGACTTGGGAACATATTCGTAATTTTCATCTCTCCTATGATAAATTCAGGAGAGCTATATATTCACTTTGCATAAAGATACACACATTATCATTAACCTCTTTCTTTTCTCCCCAGGTTAAATAGTAACCACACACACTTATGAGTATAAAACTGAAATGTGTAATTCTCCACTACAATTTGTTATGTCTGAGTTAAGCCCTCAATTATTTTAAAACTTCTAACACAAAGGTTAAAAACCAGTGATTAATGGGATGGATTTAGCTTACATATGTGTTTTATTGGCTCATACAGCAGTTAAGATTTTTAAAACTTACTAAAAATTTGGGCAATTTCACATAAAATCCAAGTTTCTGGTTTTACTTGAAGAACTGGAATATCTGGCAACACTGGGTCTGCCTCCCTGCATGGCTGCATCAGGCTAGAGCTGAGCAGCTGCCAGCTTTCCATAGATGAGGCAAGTGCTCTCTAGTTCCCCACAACGCCTGCCTCCACTCACTTATTCTACTCAGTACCTCTGGGCATTTGTGTTTATAACTCCTGGACGAGCATATCTGTAGGACCTGTTACAGGCTAGTTCTATACAACACCAGACCCAAGGACTACTTTAGTATTTTAAGTGGCAATACTTACGGGATATCCAGGGAAAGGTGGGTAGCCTGTGGGGGGATAGCCTGGGTATGACATTCTGTAACAACAATAAAAAATTTCCTCTGTCATTTCTTATAAGGATTAAGGCCTTTGAAGACAGACAGACAGACAGACAGACAGACACACACACACACACACAGTGTTTTATTAAAAAATGTTCATTCCAGGGCAGGCCCGGTGGCGCACTGCTACAGTGCGCTGCTTGGGAGCGCAGCGGTGCTCCCGCCAAGGGNAAAAAAAAAAAAAAGAATAAAGAGTAAACAGAGACTACCACTAAGGTCTAACTTGTTCTTTTACTTTTAAAATCCCATTAGAAGCCTTGGTAGCTTATATACTAGTTTGTCAGGATACTTGTGCATCAAAACTCAGTTAAATTTAATTCTACTTGGGTCAGGCAAGAGGGGTTGGTTTCTCTATTTGGGAGTCAGAACCAGGTTATTTCCAAACGTCAAGGCCTCAGGAACAACTAGCCAGGCTAATTAGTTTCTTTATTTTCCTAGCAGTTGGAAATATGAGAAAAAGCCTCCTCCTTACCCTAAAGAGAGGAGTTCCTGGCTCTCTTGCCAACACACCTGGACCTGTTGCATAATATTAAAGAAAAGGGGGGATGACCCAGGTCACCCACAGGGTGTGACATTTTGGACCTCAGTTCAGACCACACAATGTCTAAGAGTGGCAGATTGTTACGTGTTCACTAAACTCTTTCTCCCCCAGTCACAAAGCTAGACTACATTTCCCAGACCCCCTTGCAGTTAGGTACGACCACGACTGAATATCTATGAATGAACATAGACAGAAGTGAGGCCTATGTTCAACTCTCCCAGCCTGGTCCCTAAAAACTTCTGCCCAATCCTCCATGTTCTCTCGCTTCCTTCATCTGTCAGCCATAAGCGAAGGACCCAGTGGAAGACTCCAAGGTGCTACAGGGTGATTGAATCAATACAAGGAAGGAGCCTGGGAACCTGAAGCACTGCATGAAACAAAGCCTCCTCCCATCCACCACCCACCCCACCACTGACTTCCGGTAGACTGAAGCAAGAAATAAGTTTGTATTGTGCTGTGCCATTGAGATTTTGGGGTTGTCTGTTTCAGCAATCAACCTACACTGACCTAAATAGTTGCTAGAGTCCAGTTTAGTACATAGGGACTTGGGAACATATTCGTAATTTTCATCTCTCCTATGA